TAACTCTATAGAGACCTCATGGGACGGGTGTACGATGTGCATTTGCCTCTATGTTGACCCCTGATATCCTGAACAACCACCTCGCCTACAATTTGACATCGAGTGTTTGGGTATTGTTGATGTGAAGAAGACTTGTCAAAATTGCTGTACCCTCACATTGTCAGGAGGTCCTTGTGCTGGATGTGTATAACTGTTCCGCACATGGATGGTTTGGGAATCACCAATATGACTGTTTCTGTAAATTGGCAAAGCCTTGTACCAAAATACCGTGGTTAAGACGAGCTGATCTGGGTGGTGGTTCAGATATTTTTGGATGTTCAACCGTTCAACCTTTACTTGGCATGATTAAACCCACGGGTCCTCATCTGCTGTGAGTTGAGGTAAACCACCGTGCCGTGCGGGACTAAGCTTCACCCAGCTCAAGGGGAGCTGCGTGAGCCTGATCCAAAACCGAAAAATGGCAACGCTTTGCACAAGTCCCCGGATTTGAACGACAGAAGCACCCGGGCCGCCGCTAGCCCTCACCAAGAAAGAGGTTGACCTGGACAACTGTCGTCTCAAATTCTCAAGTCAAAGAAATGGTGTTGAAAAGGACCAAAAAGCACAGCAAGATTCTGGACCAACGAAACCATCAAGAGAACACATCAAGATCTCTGGACTGGACCAGGGATCTATTGTGGACCAGGGAACCTAGGAGAAGACCTCGCGACTCCGAACGTTCGCAGGTGGTGCTCCGCACACCCCGCGCTGCGTCCAGCTCCCCCGTGCGGCGTGACCTGGCAAGAGGGACATGGACCGAAGAGGCGCGGTCAGTTCATTCCCCCATGAGTTCATGATCCATATAACCTTACCCAGGTTTCGTGGATCACCCGCAGGGACCTCTGGTTTGGGGTTAACAGGACAAATCCCCCACGTTTCGAAGAAAACCCATGGAGGTTATCGCCGGGAGTTCGCCCGAAGGCTAGACGTCACCCCATCCATCTTGATGATCCCAGAATATCCCATCTCAGTCGACGAACGTCGCAAGGTGCATCGCTACGAAGGTAGCAAGGACAGTACTATAGTAACAATGCACCTTACTACCAGTAGCAAGAAGCTACTAGTAACATGGTGCATCACTCCAGGAAACAGCCCAGAACATGCATTGGCACTGGAAGAGTTGCTTTGAATACCTTTGACAATCACCTCATGAATTCATGACCCATTCATGTGGTCGCAACAATTTTCTACTTGAATGAAGTGTTTGGGGTTGCCCTTGCCTATCTTGCCTTGTGATTTTTCTACAATGGTACCCTATGTTTGAGCTCAATGTGATCAGGGTGAGTAAGGATGTTCAACTCACAAATATCCAAGCTGGGTGCGTGTCTTTTTCCTAGCAGGGTCCGCCTGAACCTTCGTCACCCGACCTTCTCCGTCCTCGTCCGGTTCCGACGAAGGTCTGTCGCTCGCTCCGTTGGCGTCATCTGGAGGATCCGATTCGCCAAGCCAAGGGGTAGGAGGATGACACTCACCCGATTTGTGGGGTCCGGTAGGACAAGACGCCCCTAAGAAAAGTCCACCTGGTTCAAAGAGACGCCCAGAGGCGTCTCTTGGCCATGGTTTTTTGATTAATGACCTCGGAACCTGCCCAAATTGGTTTGGTCCACCGTTCTTAGATGCTGTTTTATTCTTTCAATACTAGCTGCCTTCGACTCTCCCATGAGGAGTTTCATAGCCCTACACCTCCAAGTACCTCCTGAGAAGGTATTTGGACCCTCCAAACCCACCCCAAACACCTTCTCAGAGGGTACTTGGAGGCCTAGGGTATAGTCTTTGGGGCCTTGGCCTCTCTTCATGAAGAGATTTAATCTTGGTGACCTCTCTTGACTGACCCAGTGGGTGTGCTTGGGAGAGCACACACAGCGGCTCAAAATCCTGGAGCAAAATACTGCTCCCAGGAGCACCCGTATTGATTGAAATTAAAGTGGAATTGCACTTTTCTGGTCCCCTCCCCAAATAGCAAACCTTCTGGGGGTGGTTGTTAATCCCACCCCGATATGAATGTTTCCTACTTTGGGTTCAGGTTTCTTTGGATAAAGCTTTGAAGTGACAGGACGTGTTCAAAGCCGGACTTGTCACACGTCAGGCAATGATTTCTGCGTGTTTTGCAGGTATTCATCCCTAGCCGTATAGATATGGCAAAGGCGCCAGTCCCATGGCTGTCCCATGAAAATGATCCATCCGTGTGGTTGTAACTTGTCCAGTCCCAGACAGGGACCTGTCTGGGACTAGAAGAACTATGCAGCGCCAGAAAGACTCCTTTGAACCGTTATTTCTTTCTGAAGCAGCCCCTCACTAGAATTACAAAGTGGGTGCAGCATGGTGCACCCAAATGTCGAAAATCTCCTGGGCTGTGTGACACCATGTGAAACCATGAAACCACGACTCCAAATATAGAAACCACATCGCGGTTCCGATCACGGTGCTCCAGCCGATCGCCCACAAAAACCACCACCACCGTGCTCGGCTCGTGGTCGGCAGATCGGTCACCGTTGCAGATCGCCGAGGTCTTGTTCAGCCACCAGTGCTGAGCGTCGGCAGGCGCAGACATCGGGTGGAAGTGACTGGTGAAGCGAGCCAAGGGGTTTGTTGTGGAGCCCCAAATGGATAGAAGTGCGTAGATCCCCACGAAATATGTATATATATTGGAAACATTTGGAAGCCGTGCCACTAGCTTGGACCAACCTGAATTACTCAAGCTTATTCCAGAACATGCTTGTTGAGTTGTATTGAGCATATTTGAGCAGAAGCTTGTTTTGCTGATCAGCTTTTGCCATGTCAAAATACATGGAAGTTCGGCTCCCGGATATTGTTCCCGAAAAACACAGCCTTTCAGGTGAAGTTTTATCAAGACCACATGGAGGAGATTCTAGGAGCCCAATCCCTCCAGGGATTCAGATTTCAGTTGATGCATATTCAGTACAGAGACGTCATGGCATGGCGCAAGGTGCACCAAATAGAAAACGGGAGACTCCACGAGAACGGTTGTGACCTGAAAACGTCGCACAACTGTGTGTTCAAACGTGCAAAGAGTTCAATCAATTCTGGAGATTCAACCTAAGAGCGACGGCCTCCAACCTACTAGCTAGCCTAGCGATGGCTTCCAACCTACTTGATGATCAACCGTGCCAAAAGGTGCAAAGATGATCGTCTCAGGACATCGTCAGACCCCAGACACTCCATTGGCATCGCTACTTCTGTCGCTGAATTCGGTTAATATGCTCCAAGCCCCAACACCATAGCTTCAGCAATGCTTTACCTAGGTCCGTCGGTATGATGTTGGTGCAATGACTGCCATTTGGGTGGGTCATACAGTCCCATGCTTTGGGGACAGACGGAGAACAGACCAACCTCAACGCCACAACAAGAGCCGGTGAGATCACCAGCTGTTTCGATGGAGGCGACGTACATCCAGAGGCAGACGATTTCATCATATTTCCCCTATAGGGCTCCAACTACCTCCTGAAAAGGTGGTTAGGGTGGTTTGGGGGGGTTCTAACCATCTTCTGAGGATATGGTTGGAGCCCTAGGGTTTAGTTCTTTCAGGATGTTTGCTGTTTACTATCCTTGGAGGATAGAAGCGTTGTTGTGACGAGTTCGGAATGCGATTTGCACTCCTTTGGAGCGCAAATCGCACATCGCCACTGAAATTCCCCAAGGATTGCAAGTGGCCGTTGTGAATCCTTGGGCAGTCATTGCATTATGAGGTCGGCAATGTGCACGGACTGAGAGTCCTCTAATGTCCTTGATCTACTCTTTTACCAAGCAAAGGGCATTGACATCCAGCATCATTGCTGTCATTGCTACTGATTCTGAAGAGAGTCGGAGTTCCTCCAGGTTGTCCCCAAGTGACCTCAAACCAAGGCCTTTTTGTCCATCCCTTTCAGGACCTAGCCCCTTGGGGCTCCCCTTCGCTTTGCTTTAGGGATCCAGCCGTGGTTTCTGAACGTGTGGCAAAGCTGACTGATCAGAAACCCCGACGGTTTGATAAGGGCATCATATATCAAACCAGGTTCTTACAACCCCTGGTTCTGCTTGATTCCTGTTTGACTGATAAGCATCATTCTTATTTGATGAGGGCATCAGCCTTGCGTCGGGGTTTCTGTTTGACGGATGCCCTCATCGCCTTGGTGGTCTTGACGGGAATGCCACCTTTCACAGGTCAACTCCCGGGTCGTCCGATGCACGGTCTGGGGTCAAAAATAAGGCGTCATACTCTGGCGAATTGGGCTGACAGAGTTGGCAAACTGAAGCCGCAATGGAACCCCACCACCATTCGAAGGAACTCTTCTTCAGACGTTTAATCTTTTTGTTCCCTTGGCATTTCACCAGTAAGGTTAGAGAAGAACCCTCGGAGCAGTCCAGATCCAGATCTTCCAACTCTAGTGGTTTCAGAGGTTCCATGGCGCTGGCACCCCAAGATCTGATTCTTCTTCTTTTGGGTAATATGGGGATCCGTAGACTACCAAACTTAGTCTTGTGTGTGCCATGGACTCTGGAACCACCGTATTTAAGACAAAAAAAGTTTGTTTTTTCCGTCCGTGCTCTTTTTCCATCCTCCTTCCAGGGCAGTTGGTGTCAATTCGAAAGCTGATCAATCCGAAACACGAGGGCTGGCATATACATGCATATGCCGATCAGCCCAGGGATAGGCTGACCTGGCCTCAATGTAATGAGGCACAATGATGGGGATGGGCAAAACTTGAAGCCCTGGTCCACGTGGCTTGACCGACACGTAGGCCAACCAGTCGGTCGGTTGGTGCCTATAGTTCCCCACAGCCAGCTCTCTGCCATATCTTCCCAGGTCTGGGTTTGGGAATCCCTATACCCAGGAAGTACGTGGACAATTAACGAGCACACAAACAAATGAAAAGGGGTTGAGTGCCAGCCAGTTGATGCTCATATCTTGATTGAACATTGAGGACAATGCCGCATGACACTTGAGGTTTCAGATGAAAGCGATGTCCTTCATGAAAACTCTGGGAATGACGCAGCTGTCACGGCTTAAGGACGTGGCCATAGGTGCAGGAGGTGGCTCATCGTTGGGAGCCTTTCTTGCGTGGGTGGCCAAGGACTACTTTCTCTCGAACGCTGCGCAGCCTGAGAGCTGGGAGAGCGTCGCTGCAACTACTCTGGCTGTTGGTCATTCAGAGTTCATCCACTGGCCTTCTCTGGGACTTGGCGTCGTGCTCGGTTTCTTACTCTGGCCAATTCTGGAATTTCTTTACCTCTGGAAACAATATCTTACCCTTTGGTTGAGGCTTAGCTGTCAAAACCTTTTGAGGGGCAACAAGGGTGATTCTTTGCACCGGAAACTTTGATGGACCTTGAGCTTCGCACTTTGCGCAGTGAGCTTGCTGTCCTCCGCGAGGAGGTGGTGTCTCTGCGAGAGCGCGTGGCTGTGCTCGAGGCTGAGAAAGAGTTTGAGGTGGTTGCTGGTGAGCCCGGACCTAGCTCAGCGGCCCCAACCACTGGATACCCTGCTGTGCGAGTTGAGGCGGCTAAGGAAACTGGCCGATTCTTTTTGCGTTGTTTGGGCGGCGGAAGTCGCGGATTGTTTGGCCGGGAGCGAGTGCAGCTCCCCAACAGGATCTACGTTTTGGTACGTGACATTGAGGGCAAGATCAGCACTTCTCCTGTGAGGGTCTACAAGAGCTACAACCAGCTGCACCCCTTTGTCAAGCGCGGCCAAAGCCTTGGTGATTCTGTGTTTGCAGGATTTCCGTCGAAGTGGGAAGCTCAATTGGCAGTGGAGACTGCTGGATACGGTTGGCCCAAGGTGATCTATGGCTGAAGCCGAGGAGGCTGTGCCAGAATTGCCAGAAGAGGGTGAGATAGACGGTGAGCCATTTGACCTCGCCGCCTACACAGTTTTGCAGCAAGGCGGGGTAGACCCAGAATACCCAATTTTTCAATTCTCCTTTTCAGATCGTGGTGGTTCACCACGCAGTTCCAGCATCATCTTGATCGCTGTCCATCAGAAACGTTTTTTGGTTGCAGTGCCCTTTGATCTTTGGCATCGCACTGCATCTCGTCGACTCTTACCAGAAGGTGCTCTTGTGAAGCCCCTTTCTTTGGCAGTGATTGCAGCAGACCCGGCTGACCGGACAGCCATTTCTCCTGAATCAGAGCTTAAGGTTTGGTTTGGCTTCGCCTCTGCCGAAGTCATAGACAAGGTAGTGACCATAGGGGACGAAGACGCCCCTGACTTCAATTTTGGGACAAGTGAAGCACCATGTCTGCCAGCTGCAAGTGCATTGGAGCAGGCCGCAAAGACCCGCTTCAGCGTGCAAGTGGAGGAGGAGACCATTCCAGCAGCTGTCGGGGCAAGTTTCAGAAGCTAGAGGAGGACTTTTGGGTTCATCAAGAACAGCCTTGCCGAGCTGACCAAAACTTTGGCAGGCGGAAGTGTCCCGGCTGGTCAGCCAAAGCGAGCTCCATCTTCTACCGGCCCGCTTCGCCACAGCAGCAGAACAGCTAGACGAGTCTGGTTTGGAAGACTTGGCCGCCCCTCCTGGATTGGGAGTTCGCCCAAGAGCAAAGTGTCCTCAAACCAGAAGCGCAGCACAGGCAGCGACAAAGCTGGGGCTGGATCCTACAGTGGTGGCCTCAGCCCTCCAATCGGGAGTGCCCATGGATCAGCTGGAAGCTGTAAGCCAACTGGTTCGGGACAAGCCTACACGGCTGGAGGATGTTCCCAGGAAAGCGGCCGCTGGAAAGAACGCATTGTCAGAAAGCGAAGACGAACCAGCGGACTTGCTGGAAGATCCAGCTCTTGCCGAAGGTATGGACCCGGTTGCCGCAGCCCTCACTCAGCTGACCAAGATAGTGGGAAAGTTGTCCACAGGAGGCAAGAAGAAAGAACCGACTTTGGAAGACCTCTTAGAAGGTGCTGGTTCGGCAAGCTCTTCAGCCGCAGACGGCAGTTTGAGCTTCTCCAGTCGACGCCATGCCGCCGCTTTGAGGGCCCTGAAAAAGGCACTAGTGAATTCTTGATGGAGGAAGACTATACAACATGCGGGCAGCAGCTCCAGGTGTGGGTTACTTGCCGACGAGCGCACGAGGCTGGGCACAATATCGCAGCCGCATTCAGAACTATCCAGCTTCCGTCAGGTGGAGTTGGGGTGTGGCTGGAGCATTGGACAGTCTCCGGAACGGCAATGTGGACGAATGCCGAGCTCAACTTTGTCTGATGCTGGCTCAGGCAGATCAACAGTCCATAGACCGAGGATCCTGGCTTCTTTGTCAGGAGATAGCACTCGAAGCGGCTCCACCATACAGCAATTTCCAGATGCACACCCTTCCAGAAGCAACGGAACAACAATTCTCTCAGCTTCTGGACCCGAGGTGGGTCGATGCCTTTGTGGCTGCAGTCAAGGAGAACGACGACTACGTCGAGCGAAGAAGGACCCCAATAGATCGGGTTAGACAACTTTCTATCTAATAGTTAATAGACAAAATTCTATCTATTAGTTTTTTTCAGAACACGTTACCACCAGCGTGCGCTAAAACTGTAAATATTTCACTGTATTCTTGCATATCTAGTAGACTAGTGCAAAAACACTATATTTGAGTGAGTGTATTATACTAAATGCTTCAGTGGCTTCAGTGTCACATAACCAAAAACCAAAAAAACAAAAAAACAGAAAAACCAAAAAACAAAAAAAACAAAAAACAAAAAAACAAAACAAAAAAAAAGCAACCCAACCAACCCAAGACCCTCTGCAATCCATGAGTCTGTTTTTTTGTTTTTTTGGTTTTTTGTTTTTTGGTTTTTCAACAGGTTTTGGACACTGCACTCAGGAAAACCAAAAAGAAAACCTTTGGACCCAAGACCGTCTGCAAGCCATGAGTTTGTTTTTTTTTTGGTTTGTTTTTTTAGTTTTGCAATTTCAGAAAATTCCTATGCCCATCCTGTCTGGCTCATGGTCATCCTTTTATCGTTCAATTTGCTTCTGTGCTATCTTTCGAGCCCTTCAACACTCTATGGCCATGGAGGTGGAGGGCGATAATATGTCCCTGAGCGATGCCATCGCAGCGACCCAGCACCTCACGCTGCGAGAACTTCCAGCTCATGTTCATGTTGGCCCTCTACCGGTCGGTTCGGTCACTCCGATCTGTCTACCTTTGAAGGAGTTTCTTGTCTGTCTTCAAGTGTCATCGAAAGTCGACAGGCCATACCCCATCACATGTGATATTTATGCATGATTCTTTCTTATGCTTCTCAGGCTTTCGGACTCTACTCCTTCAATCAAGCACTTCGTTGATTTGATCTATGATGTCGAGCCCTCCTCGATCGACATGGACAATCTGAAAGCCATCATCAGAGACAAGGCTTGGCAAGAGCTTCCTGAAGCACTTACCTTGAAGGAACGCCCCACGTTCTCTTGCTTGTCCCAATTTTGTTTGCTTCCACAAACCAATGGGAAACTATGTGTCCTCAAGCATTACTACGTCAAGAGTGACAAAGTCAAGGGCGCATATGTTGCCAAGCTCGTGCGTGGTCAAGGCAAGGAGATTGCTTGGGCCTCCCTCAACAAACAGCAAGCTCGCCGTGGCTTCCAGTGGATGTTGGAGTGCCTGGGTGGGCATCAGTTTCGTCACTTCTCTCTTTCCGCTGAGAAGGTCCGATCCAACAAAGCACGTGCCCCTCAAGGAGAAGTCATCATCAGCAACGGTGAGAGTGACAAGGAGAACTTGAAGCAGATGCGCTGGATCCATCGCCACATCCAAAAAGAAGGTTCTCCGATCCATGGTTGGAACGAGAAGTTGGTTCAGAGAGCTCTTGATTGTCTTGCTAATGACGGATGTCTGGCCAAATTGTCTGACAGATATGATTTGACCATCCAAGCCATTCAGCCAGAAATCTTGACCATCTTGGAAGATCTCTTGCCTCATCTTCGTGGACATTCCCTGTGGCTGCTCGGAGAGTCCGGTGTCGGCAAAACCCCTCTCGCTCGAATTCTTTCCATGATGTTTTCGCGATATCATGGAGGAAATGGTCAGTTCAGGTCAGCCCCGGAGTTTGATTTCTTTCGTGGCATCTTCTTCGACAAGGCCACGCCTGCAATTTTTGACGATGGTGAAATCGGTAATGAGACCATCAAAAAGAAAAAGGCGTTCTCAGATGTGGGAGATTCTGAGACCATCCTGAAAGAAAGGCCGGGCTCTGCAATGTCACATCACATGTGCAATCCACATATTGTGTTTTCCCTTGACATGCATGTCTGTGAATGTAAATCATTAATTTTCTTGGGCAGGTGGACGGCAGCGAAGTTCGTGATGCATCAGCTTCGCATCGTCGTAGACAACCAGTACAACCCAGAGGGTCAAGAAGGCGATGTTGATGGTGTTTTCAGCAGAAGTCTCCCATGAGTCTTTCATGAAGCTGGTCCGTCCAGCCGTGGGCTACATCGCCAATGCCGATGCTATGGCATTTCTGAAAAGGGCTGCCTTCATCGTGTTTGCTGAGAAGTACATCTATTTCCGACCACCCACTGAGAAGCATGTCAAGGTGCAGCGTGTTTTTTGGACCAACTCAGATTCAAAGGACATTCTTCTTCCAGATTGCAAGCCAACCCTGAAGAATTGGAAAAATGGTGGGCCTCAGCCGGATACTTATTCCGCATCTGTGGCATGGGAGACTGAATGGTTGAAAGAGCTATTCCGTCGACATGATCATCCTGTACGTCCTGCTTCGCCAGCTTGTCCTGCTACTCCTTTGACTTCCACGCCTGGTTTGGATGCGTTGCTTCGGGCTGATGGGGCTTTGCCTGCTGCACCTGCTTCTTCAAGGCCGGCATCGAGTTCATTGTCAATTCCTCACCCTGCCCCTGCTCTTTTGGTTGGCGTACCCAAGTTGGAGCCAGCCGAGCATCCGGATGCGCATGCATGGTTGGCCACAGCGACACGTGGAGATCCTGTGGATGTAGACACAGATCGTGCAAGTGCAGGTTGGACCGTTAAGGAAGAGCCTTCCTTGAAGTTCCAGAGCCTTGCCTTTACCTCTAGTGAGCCCATTGTCTTGGACACACCTTCCCCGCCACCACACAAGAGACAGAGAAGGACAGAAGACATTCCCAATCCGGACACTTTGCCTGGACTTCTTCCTCCCTCTGATGACGAAGATCCGATGCCTCGCGTTGGTGCTGCTCCTGACTTAGAATATGGAGGTCCTGGCTGCCAGAATGGCTTCAAAGATGTGTGCTCGATCATGGCCATGCAAAATATTGGTCTTCCGGTGGTTTGCGATCAAGATGGCCCATTCTCAGTTTCCTACGGCAATAGTCGGCTACTTCCGTTTGGCGTCCAACTGTGTCAGAAGCATTGTCGAAAGTCTTTGCCGGATGGCAGCTACATCGTGCATGACAAGGACATGAAGCACTTCTTTGCCTTGCAGCATCGAGAAGGTTTGCTCCTCAAGAAGGATGGTGAGGTCACCTCAGTGGTGTCTGCTGGTGTGGCAATGGACATGTTGTCATCTGACCAGTACACCTTCTACTACTTGCGAAGGCAATCCTACTCAGCATTAGTGACCTTGGATGCTGTGGGAGGTTCTAGTCCGCAGACTTTCACATGTCCTCTGAGCAAGTGTGTCTGTGAAGGTTGTTCTGGTTCCCTCATCTACCATTTGTCCGTCGATGCCGTGCTGTACGATTTAGATGGTCCTCGAAAAATTGTCCACGTGCAGAAGAACTGTACTTCCCGTTCTTGCCGGGCTTCTTATGGCTACAACTATCGCTGGGAAGCAGGCAAGAAGGTGAACGTCCTTGGCATGAAGGATTTTCAGGACAACATTCTGTTTGTGAACTCGAAGAAGGCCTTTTCATCCAGTATCATGAAGAACTTCTGTTCCGTGGTCATCTCTCAAGTGCTGCTGTGTCCTGCGCTTACCACGTTGTCCACGGAGATTCCCAAGAGTCAATCCTTCAGAACTTTGACAAGCTGCATGCGTCCGCGTTGTTCTACTACATGGCTGTGAGGGAGTTCGAGTTGTTGGGCCTGCATCAGGAGATCATGATCGAAAAGGAGATCCAAGATACCCATCTTGACCTCTACGATTCCTTTTGCCACTCATCTACCTTTCCTCCACACAAGCGTCAGCAGGTGAAGACCTTAGTCCTTGATGGAAACCAGAAGCTGAAGATGCAGTGTGATATGGCGCCAATGAAGCGCGCAGGCCGTCCTAGGAAGTCTGAGCACACCACCGGGCACTACACCAATGGCTGGATGCTTGCGTGTGATCCGAAGTCCGGTCGCATCATCAGCTTGCAGGTCATGCATGAGCCTGAAGGCAACGAGGTCGCAACTCTGGCTGTGGAGAACGTCATCTGGTTGGGAACTGGATTGCCTTGTCTACGACAGAGCATGCGCTTTCAAGTCATGTGGGGAGTCGAATGAGGCCTTGAATCAGATCGGCTACTATGTCGTGGATGGTTTTCATTCTCATGGTCATTCGCGAACCTGCCCTTGCAATCCTCGTGTCCTGTCTGTTTGTTTCAACACCAAGTCAATCAATATGGATTCTGTTCTATCGAGACGACCACAATCATTTTTGCGAGTTTATTGAGGCACATGTTGTTGCATTAGTCCTTATGAATGTGTTGTTTTGTATAGTTTCGTATTTACTTTAAATCAAGCCTACCTAGGCTACCGCAAGAAGCTGGAGAAGCGCACTCACAAAGAGAACACTTCGATCTGCGAACAGGTCTTCTCGTGGTTCCGCAACTTTTCCCCTATCATCAATGAGATGCGAGCCCACCGGCACAAATTCTTCTTGTTGCTTCTGTCCAAGCGTCACAACGAGTCCATTGAGGGTGGCAACATTCGGTATTTGCATCCAACTCGCCTGCCAAACCTCTTCAAGAATGCGAAGTCTGTCTCATACCTATGTGGCAAGAAGTCCAACACGAAGAATGCAATTGGCAAACCCTCGTCTGGCAACAAGATGGTCATGAAGGGCAAGTCCATGAAGAGAAAGTCCATGAAGTACAAGAAGTGAAGAAAGCTGAGGGACCATCTGTAGATCTAATCTCATGGGACAAGTTCTGTAGAATATAAATATTTTTGCTATGTAAATCCTTCTATTTGGTGGGTTGCTCTTAATTAAACACACTAGTGCATATCAGTAAGATTGCTATAGAATCTCTATTGAAATATTGTTGTTTGTTGGAAGTCCACATGAGAAGTTTTGGCTTTGGTATGAGGTGAAAACTTTAGACAGCAAGATTTGGCAGCTTGAAATGCTTAAAGTGCACGCTCACAGTGACGAGCTCTCTTTTTTTAACTATTCTATACTTTTTAAGTTAATTTGCTTAACTATTTCATTCTTTTGTTATGTTAATGTTTATAGTAACATCATTAAAGTTATGAGAAAATTGTATTTTCATGTATTTTCAAAGCTTTTGAGAGAAACATTTCTGTTGAGAGGTAAAGGAAATGGTTTAGTCAAACTGTTTTCAAGAGAGAGACATTTCTGATGAGAGACAGAGAGTGTTCTTGTTTGGTTCAGAAACACGCTTGCACAAAGCCTTTTGCACATGCCTTTTGCAGCCTGAAAGAACCAAAGTGGCAACGACATGAGCACAGCACATGCAGGAATAAAGAGAGCCAATTCAGCAACAGTTTCATTTTCATGTGCACATATGTGCACACACATCATGGCACATGGGAAACCATGTATCATTGAGTCAGATGACTACAGGGAACAAATTTGCATAAACCCTGCTTCTGGGCCAGCCATGAGCAGGTTGCACCCTGATCCATTGGTGGCTGTGGGCGACATTCAGCAGGCAATCATTGACTTTTTGCAAGAGAAGGGCTGCAATGATTTGGGGCTTCTTCTGAAGGCACCCAGTGGGAAGATGACTTGGAAGAGTGCACCCCAGGAGGATTGGCTGGGTGGTTCTATAGCAGCACTGGTGAAAAGGCTTCTGAAGATAAGCCCTATTTGCGTTTTTTTCATCAAAAAATTGAAGAAAGCCTTTTGCAAGGTCAACACAGAATGGAAGAGATGCAACTACAGCAAGCAACATGACAATGATTGGGTGGACCAGATGGATGAGCAAATACGCATTGCCTGCCATCAATATCGATGCTTGAAGAAGGACCCCTTGAGCCAGAAGAGATTCTTCAAGAAAGCTTCTGTCAGTGAAGCGGAACAGGTGCAAGATGTTTTGGGAAACATCAAATGGGCAAATGATGGAACCGAGCAAGAGCCAAATGAAGAGCAGTTGGCTTTGCAGAAAAGGGAGGGCATGGATGAGCTTTCCTTGGAGCAGAGCAAACCAACTATTTTCAAGAGACTTTTGAAAAGAAGAACTCATCGGAGTCTGAATGCAATGCACATCCTTCTTCTTCATCCAGCAAGAAGCTTCCTGTACCTGCAGCTGCCTTGTCACCTTCATCAAAGGCTGGCCTTGTACCAGCCTTGCTTGCAGATGAGCATGAGGAGTTGGCCCAGTGGCTGTTGGAGAGCATTACACCACCACCTAGGAAGAAGCCAGCAGCCAAGAAGGCAAAAGCAAAAAAAAGGGCAAACATCAAAAAGAAGGAAGCAGCTTCAGAGAAAGCTGCCACACTGAAGTGCAGCTTCAAGCATCGAAAGACCTCTTCAGCTTACAACAAGGCCAAAGCAGATGCCATCAAAGCAGGGTTGTCACCCAATTCAGTGAAAGAAAGAGCCAGATCAGCCCTGAGGCAAATGGCAGCTGACATCGACAGTGGGCTTGTGAAGGAAGAGTGAAAAAAGAAGCTCTCTTCATTGATTTTGCCTTGTAAATCTCTTGCACTTTTACTGTTGAGAATTTGGGAGTGAACTACAGTTTGTTTGTGAGAGAAACAGGTGTGTATTTTGTTGGTTGGTGTCTTGTGTAGGGTTTCTGTGTTCTTACTGGTGAGAGAAAGAGAGTGGGAGGGGTGAATGTTTGTGAATGTTTAGTGTGCATGTTCTGTGTTAAGCTTAATGTTTGTTTGTTGAATCTGTTTGTTGAATGTCCACAGAAGCTATGTTCAAGCAGCATATGAAAGCATGAAACATGTTCAAGCAGCATATGGCAGCATGAAACAAGCAGCAATAAATCACATCAAATGCCCAAAAGATTTCAGGCAAAGCAACAACAAATATGATGGGAACACACAAAGCAAGAGCACAACACAAGTTTGTCATCCAAAGTTTTCATCAGGACACACACACATTCTTCTTGACATCATGTGGTATCATCGTGAAAAAGATGGCCGCATTTATGTCAAAAATCTTCCTTATGGATGCAGTGTGAATTCTATCTATGAGTTCCTCAACAACCTCGGACTGCCAAGACCTGGCTTTGTGCATCCACTAAGAGGACAAAGACAGAAGGGACAAGAACATCAAAGTTGCTACGTCCACTTCAAGTATCACCGTCCCTCCCAATTGGTCTGCTGGATGATGCAAATCCAGGGACGAGTGTTCCCTCCATCCACCAAACCCTTGGAATGTGAAATCCTCTTGGATACATTTATTGGTCCATACGCAAAAGCTCCCACAGAGAGCGGCTCAAGCCTTGGTCGTGGAACACCTACACAGTCTCTTGTCACAATTTAGTTTTACTGTTGGGAGAGACGGATAGAGAAAGAAAGAAAGCAAAAAAAAGAGCCTGGAGAGAGACCTCTGCATTTCAAAACAAATCTGAGGCCACCCATGCAGCCTTGGACTCCTTTGGTGGCGAAAACTCCTGTATGGAGGCGAGTGAGGGACTGGGACAAACTTGCATTTTGTCAAACAATTTGTTTGACAAAAAAAATGCAGGCAGGCAACAGCTTCTGCTGAAGGAGGACAAGAGCTCCTTGCCCTGCAATGCTACTGTACAAGGTGGGCTTCTGCAGCCGTCCTCAAATCTGCATGTGCATGGCCACTCATGGTAAAACTCACAGTACTAGATCGGAAAGCGGCTGTATGCATTATCGATATCGATCGATCAACATTACAGCCAACTTGCAAGATCTGTCCAGCGCGCTCGCAGAGCCCATACCAAGTGCATAGTGCACGCCTAGGATAAAGCACGCACCGAAAATGAGCCCATACCAAGTAGCGTCCTTCAGGCCCTAGTAGCGACGCCAGGAGCCCCTAGTAGCGTCCTTCAGCCCTAATAGCAATGCCAGGAGCCCCTAGTAGCGTCCTTCAGCCCTGATAGCAATGCCAGGAGCCCCTAGTAGCGTCCTTCAGCCCCTAGTAGCAATGCCAGGAGCCCCTAGTAGCAACCTTCAGCCCCTAGTAGCGATGACTGGAGCCCCTAGTAATGTCCTTCAGCCCCTAGTAGCGATGCCAGGAGCCCCTAGTAGCGTCCTTCAGCCCCTAGTAGCGATGCCAGGAGCCCCTAGCATGCATGCCTGGGATGAAGCATGACAAAATTCATGATCAGTGCGCTTAACACTTTACAGCCAAAATGCGACGCCAATGGCTCCAAACGACAATGGGGTGTCACGTGCAGTAGGCCATGCCCTGCGACTTGCACGAACCTCCTCAGCCAGCCATACCCCCAACATGCGCCCTCCAGTGCTATCGAAATTCTGCAACGTGGCAGCCTGAACTGCGCTCTCATGAAGCCATTGGAGAAGTATTCTGGAAATGAGTACTAGTCCCAGGAGTCCTTTGTGGAAATGGTACGTGTTCTTGGCGATCATGAGTACTAGTCCCAGGAGTTCTTCAGGCGTTCTTTGTGGAAATGGTACCTCGTGTTCTTGGCAATCATGAGTACTAGTCCCAGGAGTGCTTTGTGGAAATGGTCTGCGTGTACAGTCCAAAGTGGCTTTAATTTCGTTGACCCTCTGTCGGTGCAAGCCGGCCCGCGCCAATGCAAAAACCCTCCCTGAATTGATCCATGGAACCGACACCTCTTTGGAAGTGGTTCTGCTGAAGCCGAAGACACCCAGCCAGTCCAGCAAGAACATGAAGTTGGTGTCGCCCCTCAGCCCCTTTCCAGTGACGCCCTTCTTGTCCACATCAACGAAGCTGAAAGTGCATGGCATCTTAGCAGCAGAATTCTCGAATAGGTTCATTGGCCAGGTGACCCCTTTCGGAATACGCCCTCCCCCAAATTGGGAACAGCTGAAATTTGTTCAGCTCATGAAGTCCAGGTGGATTCCATCCCTTGACCAGGTGACCCCTTTTGGGAACAGCTGAAACAAATCGGAAGTCCAGGTGGATTCCATCCAGCTAGAAATTGGTGCAACCTGCCGGAAAACCAGATCCTCTTCCTAACCTGCCCCTAGTGAAGACCGGTGTCCCTTGCACACTGCGCAGGTGAGCCGGGCTTCCTCGCAGTGGTGGGTGGTGGGACAGCAGTGGTGGGACGTCCAAACAAGCCCAAGATCCCGCTTCAGCCCCTAGTAGCAATGCCAGGAGCCCCTAGTAATGTCCTTCAGCCCCTAGTAGCGATGCCAGGAGCCCCTAGTAGCGACCTTCAGCCCCTAGTAGCGATGACTGGAGCCCCTAGTAATGTCCTTCAGCCCCTAGTAGCGATGCCAGGAGCCCCTAGTAGCGTCCTTCAGCCCCTAGTAGCGATGCCAGGAGCCCCTAGCATGCATGCCTGCGACGTCCAAACAAGCCCAAGATCCCAAATAAGTTTGGGCCCAGTTGCACGATGTTTCTTCAAGTCACGCATCATTCGATAGTTCGGGATGTTGTTCTCTTTGCAAAGGCGCTCCACCCGAATCCATTTCCAGCCATCAGCAAGTCGATCTCTATAGAATTCTTGTGCATGTGTTGGGGGTATTGTGCCAGAAGGAACCCCAATAAAAAAGGGATCATGATTTCAAACACCAAATTTTTTGAATATTTTTGAAGTGCCATAAAGGCCAATGAAAAAGCTAGTTGTAGGAAATTGCCATTGTGGGACATGGTACTTCACATTTTGGATGAAGGAACAACCCCCCAAGAGTTCTGAGGACGTCTGAGGAGGAGGGCATCCTACGCACCACAGCTGCGGGAATTCCAGCTGTAAGTGCACTAGGGCCAACTTGGGG